CATACATTTTTAACTCTAATGTATTTTTAATAAACTGTTTGTTTAATATATTTCTAATATAAATATAATATATTTTGTAATTTGGTGTTAATATCTGTAGATAATATATGTCTTTGTTCTCATTATCCTGCTTTAAAATGAACAAAAATAACAAACCAGTTGGAGCTTGTATTTTAAGCTTGTTTAGTAATTGAGGTGGCCTCAGTCAACTCCAACTGGACATAATAAATATTATGAACGTAAAAAAATTTTTTTAAAAAAAATATTTAGCTTTAATACTATATCAAATAAATTTATTATTATTTTTTAGTTTTCAATTTACATTTAGTGTTTTGTAAATTTATATATTTAATTGATAAAATTTATTATTAATATAAACATTATTTATTCATAATTAATTGTCTTTCTTTTCTCTTAATAAGCAAATTATTTTAAGTTTGAATTTTTTTCGAGCTCTAAGTTTTTTAACATACGAGCTCAAGTAGCCCAACTAATTCTTAGCAAACCAAGCTCGAATACTCAAAAATTTGATTCAACTCAACTCGTTTGCAACTCTACTCCCAGCCTATGGTTGGTTTTGTTAGAAAGGAAAGGGGGAAAAAATGTACACATACCCCTAATTCTGTCATTATTTTGGACAAGATCAAGTTATGGTACCAAATAAAAACAATTGCATTTTCAAAATTAAATTGACAGAATGGAAAAGATAAAAGACCAAAATGACATGATATACATATTTTTGGAATCAAAAGTGCATTTAACCTTTTTTTTTTTTAATGGTTCGACCTTGTTACAAAAGAATCACAAGACATACAGACCTATGTATGCATATCCAGACTTTTACAACTTGAACATAAGAAAAGAAGAGCACAAGGCTCAATACCCACGACAGAGAAATGCAGAGGTCCTTGGTTTTATTTTGAAGAGTTGGTTATGCACATAGAAGAAAATGAATGCGGAAAGAAAAACAATACTTACAATGAGAGTGAGACCCATGCCAATTAATGAAATGGGCCCCACTCTCATTGTAAGGGGTAGAAAATACCGTAGAAAATGGTGTTTCCACAACCGGAACCGGACTTGTCTCCACGATTACTCAAAATGGGTTTCCATTACTTCCATCGGTTTTTTTACACAGTTTCCTACACTTTTTCTTACATCTTAGTCTACCTCCAATTGTCTGTGACCCAGGATCCTTGGCATGAACTTTCAATACATGGAGCCACAAAAAGAAAAAAGAAAAAAAGAAAAAAATTTACAATTTCCAGTAAAGGAAGAGGGTCATACAAAACAGGTCAGGCTTCCCCTTTCATCAATTAGAACAAATGGGAGTGGCAGCTGCATACTACTACAATGTTTGTATATTTTGCCGCTCACAAACTCTAGACCCATTTTCAGCCCACCACTTCTCTGCTTGTTCCTCAGTGAAACGTTTCCGACTGCACGAACACAAATGATCAATACTAAATCATTCATTTGTTATTTCCAAACATGCATTACCAACATGCTACATCATGTAACCATAAAAGGACCCAATATTTTTTTTTTTGCTTCTCTTCTTCTTCGCAATAAATGGTACAAGCTCCTTATTTGCACAGAGAACAATAATATTTTTGATAGAGCTTTATTCATTAGCAACATTTCCAAAACGTAATTCTATTAGTCTGATATGCTCATACTTATTGCTCTTACACTTCTGCTCAAACGAACCACTTTGTAAGGGCTATTGTAAAAGAAAAAGAATGAATGGTCTTGATATTCGTATTCCTAACAAAAGGACAATTGCTTCAAAGGGAAGAAGGGACAGTGGCTCAAATCAAAGACTTGATAGCATATCTATATAGTTTCGGCACAAATAAAATAAACATCAGTAACACCAGACTTGGAGAAAATCTATCTGCAATAACATACTCTTTTTACTTCTCAACTCTACAAGCCTTTTTATTCCAATTACTGGTTACTGGATACATGGATCCATTTTCTTTAGTTGGCTCTATTCAGAATTTTACATGTTTTTGCTATGAATAAACTTATTAATAAATACAAGAAAATTTGTTCATCCTCTTATAAACATATTTGTGTTGCTAGAGTAGTTGCAAGTGATTTGACACTGCATAAATATTACATCTAAAGCATGTAACTGTCTGCTAAATGAGTAAAAGTACCATGTGAAGCAAGCAAATAATAAGTTTAATATAAATTCGGGATATTTCGTGCAGAAGCATGAGACAAGGGTGGTGTTCTTTTAGGTTTGAGGACATGTGGCAGCAAGTTTATGGAGAGAGGAGGATGGGGAATAGTGATGTTGTTGAGCATATGTTGAGCTTTGTGTTGGCAAGAAAATTCAAGTTACTGAAAGAGGATTTGAGGTGTAACAAAGAAGAGTTCAGGATGCTGGAGGTACAAAAAATGAAAGCACTTGGGGAGATTTGTTGGATTGATGAGGTGAAGGCAGATTTGGGAGAAGGTGAAGCAGAAGTTTAGCAGTATTGCTAAGATGAAAAACACTAGTTGGAGACAGAAATTGAGATCTCTGTGGCTTAAGGATGATTGATTGAACACTCAATTTTTTCATTTTTTTTATTTTTTCAATAGATGTCTGTTGCTAGTCAATGTCAGAACTTCATTACCAAGATTGGGATTGGTGATAAGACAGTCAATAGGAGAAGAGGAGATTTAACAGGGTGTGGCATAAGTTTATCATAGGATGTATTCAAAGACAAAGGGAGGAGTCAGATTGGATGGGATATAGTATTTTTCTATTTCCTCTAAAAAGAAGGCTTAGTTGGAAAGAGCTCTCACTGAAGAGGAGGTCGTGATGACTTTGAAAGTAATGAATGGGGGATAAAGCTCATGACCCGAATGAGATGTCTTTGGTTTTCTTTCAGAAGTATTAGGAGGTGGTTGTCGAGGGGGTATGATGCACTCTTCTTTGAGCAAGGGGAGCTCGAAAAGAGCTTTGATGCTTCTTTTGTTGCATTGCTTCCAAAAGGGGTGGAGCAAAGGATATTAGGGATTTCAGATCCGTTAGTTTGTTGACAGGGTCAGGGACTTACAAGTTGCTCACAATTAGGTTGAAAAGCATGTTGGGAGGGATTGTTTTGGAATCTTAGAATGTTTTTATTGAATGGCAGGCAATTTTGAATGTTGTTTGAATGGTGAATGAGAGTATTGACTTCAGGTTGAGAGGAAGGGTCCTCGAAGTGGTGTGTAAGCCGGATATAAAAAAGAATTGTGATCATGTAAATTGGGATCTTTTGCTTTATATAATGGAGAGAATGGGTTTCAAGGTGAAGTGGAGGAAATGGATTGAGTTTTACATATCTATTGGGAGGATGTTGGTGTTGGTACCCTTACATGTTTTTTTCCAAACTTCTAGGGGTTCGAGGCAAGTGGACTCTCATCAATATGGTTTGTAAGATTCCTGAAAGCTTTTCTGTATATATAATTGTCAATGTTTACAAAGTATTTATCAGTTTATATAGCACTAAATCTATGGATGAATAAGGAATGACTGAAAAAGGAAACACATACGCCTAATTAACGCCTAATTCCTAATATACATCACCATGCCATATATACAATCATGCCATATATACAATATATTCTCACACCTCCGCTCAAACTCAAGGTGTTTCAGCAGAAAACACTGAGAGTTTGCTAAGAAGAAACTGAAACCAAGCGGTAGTGTGAGTCTTGGTGAAGAAGTTCGTAAGTTGCAAAGCCGAAGGGATGAAAGAAAGTGAGATAGAGGCAAACTGCAGATGTTGGCGAACAAAGTAACAATCAATCTCAATATGTTTCGTCCGTTCATGAAAGACAGTATTGTGGGCAATCTGAACAGCACTGCGATTGTCACAATAGACAGAGGTCGGAGAAGACTGCGAAACACCCAAATCAGACAAGAGACAACGAAGCCAAACAATCTCAACAGTGGCATGAGCCATTGCACGATACTCAGCTTCGGCAGTAGAGCGAGCAACAACTAATTGTTTCTTACTTTTCCAAGAGATCAAGGAATCTCCAAGAAACATACAGAAACCAGATGTAGACTTACGATCAGTAACATCACCGGCCCAATCAGAGTCAGCATAAGCCACCAAGTCCAAAGAGGAAGTAGAGGACAACAATAAGCCCTGAAAGATGGTACCCCTGAGATAGCGAAGAACGCGAACCAAAGCAGCCCAATGGGTAGAGCGAGGAGCAGAAACGAACTGACTAACCACATGAACAACATAAACAAGATCAGGGTGAGTGACAGTCAAATAAACTAAACAACCCACAAGCTCGCAATATAAAGTGGGATCATCCAGAGGGACACCATCAGTAGAGTTAAGCTTCACATTAAGCTCAAGAGGTGTATCAAAAACCTTAGTATCAATAAGACCAGCACGATGAATGACTTCATTAGCATACTTAGCCTGAGACAGAAAATAGCCCTTGGGAGAAAAAGCAACCTCAATGCCCAGAAAATACCGTAATGGACCCAGATCCTTCATTTTGAAGGTGCGAAAGAGATGCTGCTTGACCTCAGAAATAGCAGAAGAGTCTGAACCTGTGATAATCATATCATCCACATACAACAAGAGAGCAACAAAACCAACCGAGGTATGTCGCAGAAATAAAGCAGAGTCGGAAGCAGAAGGATGAAACCCAAGCTCGGTAACAGCAGTCTGAAATCGATCATACCAAGCACAAAGAGACTGCTTCAGATCATACAGAGCACGCCGAAGACGACAAACCTGACCAGAGGGATGGTGAAAGCCCGGGGGAGGACGCATGTAAACCTCCTCAGTGAGATGGCCATTAAGAAAAGCATTCTTAACATCCATCTGATAAAGAGGCCAAGAACGAACAGCAGCAACAGAGATCAAAGTACGAACAGTAGTCATTTTGGCAACAGGAGCAAATGTCTCCTCATAATCAATACCATACTCTTGAGAGAAACCTTTGGCAACCAGACGAGCTTTGTAACACTCAAGAGAACCATCAGAATGAGTCTTGACTTTGCAGACCCATTTGCAACCAACCAGGTCTTTATCAGCAGGCAAAGGAACCAACTCCCAAGTACCAGTTTTTTGTAAAGCAGATAACTCATCCTCTATAGCTTGAACCCAATGAGGATCCTGACAGGCCTCTTTGTAAGACTGAGATTCTACAAAAGAGTGAATAGCAGACAAAAATGTACGATAAGAAGTAGAAAAACAAGTATTAGACTAACCCAACCTGTTTGGAGGATGACGTACTCGAGAAGGATATCGGTGTGCAGTAGGATCAGAGTCGTCAGAAGCAGAGGGAGCAGTAGCAGGGGCAGAGACAACCGGTGGAGGAGGAGCCTTGCAACGAGAATAAACTAGCAACGGAGGAGGAGAAGAAGCCGAGGGAAGAGAAGAAGCCGAAGAAGGAGAAGCAGCTAAAGGTATAAGAGGAGAAGATGGAACAAGCTCAGGAGAAACAGTGGAGATGTACTCATCGGACGAGACCTCTGAAGGAAATTGGTCAATGTAAACCAAATCCTCTTTGGAAACTGGAGCCAGTGAGAGGGGGAAGTTGGAAGTAAGATAAACGTTCAAGAAAGGCAACATGACGGGAGATAAAAAGACGACGGGAAACAGGGTCGTAACACCGATAACCTTTCTGAGTTGGACTATAACCCAAAAAGACACAGAGGATAGACCGGGCACTAAGTTTGGTCCTATCTTTGCGGGGAAGAAGAACAAAACAAGCAGACCCAAACACACAAAGGAGGGAATAGTTAGGAATTTGGGAGAACAAAGCCTCATAAGGAGACCGACCGAAAAGAAGGGGAGTAGGCATGCGGTTGAGAAGAAAAGCAGTAAGAAGAACTGCCTCCCCCCAGAATGGAGCCGGAACTAAGGCAGAGAAAAGAAGAGACCTAGCGGTCTCAAGAAGATGACGGCGTTTACGTTCGGCTCGACCATTTTGGGCAGGTGTATTTGTACAGAAAGTTTGGTGAATGGTATCCAAATTGGCCAAATACTCACAGAACTCATTTTTAAAATATTCCCCACCCAAGTCAGACCATAACACTTTAATTGTAGACCCAAACTGAGTAGTAATCATAAACTAAAAAGTACGCTATATCTGATAGAAATCGGATTTATGAGTCATAAGATAAACCCAAGTGTAACGGGTGCAGTCATCAACAAAAGACACATAGTATGCAGAACCCCCTTTGGTGAGAACAAGAGAATGGCCCCAAACATCAGTATGAACTAAAGAAAACAGTGTATCAGATATAGAAGTACTTTTACGAAAAGGTAAGGCTGACATTTTGGCAAGTTTAAACCCCCGACATTCATCAATTTGACTAGGAGAAACTTTACCCAACAATCATGACTGAGCTAAAGACCGTAAGCGGTCAACAGACAAATGACCGAGACGAGAATGCCATAAGTAAAACTGACTCGACTGAGAATCTAATTGAAACGAGGAAAGGGCAGCTGGAGAGGTGGAGAAGGGGAGATACAAGCTTTCAACCACATAGAGATCTCCAATTCTACGGCCGGTCCCAATCTACTTCTTGGACACCCGATCCTGCACACAACAGACAGAAGAGGAAAAGATAACATCAAAACCAGACGCATCAAGTTGACTGATAGAAAACAAACTGACAGATAACTGAGGAACATAAAAAACAGAAGGAATAGTAACAGCAAACATGGCAGAGGGTAAGACAGACCCAACAGATAGAACAGACATACCAGGTCCATTAGCAGCATTGACGGTAATAGGAAAGGGAGGAGGAGTACAATTTTAAGGTAAGGAGAGATGGGGAGTCATATGATGAGAAGCACCAGAGTCAAAAAGCCAGACAGACGAAGAGATACCTGAAGAAGACCCAAGCAAACCTGAAGGAAGAGATGAAACAACGGAAGCAAATGGAGATGGCTGGGAGGTAGACAATATATGTTGAAGTTGACTAATCTGAGCAGTCAAGGAAGCCAAGTCAAGATCAAGAGTCGGAGCAGGTGCAACATACGTAGTGGGAGGAGCCCGAAAGTGGTTCTGAGATTGTTGAAAAAATGAGGAGGCTGAGGTCCCTTCTTGGAACAGTAGTACTTCCAATGGCCCTTCTGATGACAGAAGGCACACTCATCAAAAGCCAGAGACATCGTAATAACTAGAAAATGGAGGGGTTAAAGTGTAATAAACCCTATATTCAATAAAATAGCCAAAACAGGGGTCGAAGGGCACAGAAATCTAATAGAGGTAAGACCAATAAATCCAAAACCATAGTGTAATAATCAGAAGAGTGTTAGATCTGAACGTAAAATATAAAAACCACTTTTCTTTTTTTTTTTTTTTTTTTTTTTTTTACCCTGACCCACAAATATGAAGTCGAAAGAAAGAACCAGAATAGAGAGAGTAGCAACAGCAGAACAGAGAGACAATAGTAGGGCAACAAACTCTAAACGAAGCAATCAAACTAACTCCAGCAAAGTAGGGAAGACAACGAAACCAGCAAACCAAACCAGGGCAAAGTAGGGAAGACAACGAAACCAGCAAACCAAACCAGAACAGCAACAGAACTAAGGAATTGAACTTCTGTTGCAACAAAAACAGCAATCAAGCCCACCAAACCAGTCCACAATGAAACCACGAAGAGAGAGAGAGCATCAATGGAGTCACGAAGTGGAAGGAACAGCTAGACGATCACGAAGAAGAGAGGGCAGTACCAGACAAGTTTGTTGAACAACTCGAATGGGAATATCTGCAACCTGAGGGTAGTTCCAAACACACCCAGAAGCGATCCAATAGCCGTGGGACACTGTGGCAGTCACTTGACACTTACAACATCAACGTCTAAGGTTAGGCTTAAAACCTAGCTCTGATACCATGTAAGAATCCTGAAAGCTTTTCTGTATATTCAATTGTATCAAAGATTACAATCAAACCTTAGATTATATAGCCCTAAATCCTAAACCAAAAAGGAAAATACAAATACAATTATAATTATGTCTCTAACAAGATTCTAACACAATCATGCCTCTAATAGGACTCTAATTTGTAAAACACAGAATAATATATTTTATATTCTCACAACATACTCAAAGAAAACTCCCATCATGAGTACCGCCTTCCGTGCACTTCCCTATGTGAAAAGCCACAATAACATTGAAGAAATTAATGCTCTGCCTTTTTTACTTTTCATCAATTTACTAGTATGATTACAAAGGAGAAAACAAAAAAAAAAAACACCCTTTTCTGCCTTTCCTCAAGAGGGAAAAACGAAAGTGAAGACGACCCTTTTTCTCCAAAATGGCCCCACATTAAGAAATCAAACAAAACCAAATAGGAGAATTATCATTACAAACACAAATTTGGTGGCCCCTACTAACATGGACAGCTCACCCAACACATTCTCTCATAATCAGCAGCAGCACTCAAAACACCTTCCTCTCTCAGCTCCCTATGTCTTATTTACCCACATAAGACAACCCTTACTGAATAAAATGGCATATAAGCACGAAATAGCCTTTTGTGCACTTCCCTATGTGAAAAGCCACAATAACATTGAAGAAATTAATGCTCTGCCTTTTTTACTTTTCATCAATTTACTAGAGTATGATTACAAAGGAGAAAACAAAAAAAAAAACACCCTTTTCTGCCTTTCCTCGAGGGAAAAACGAACGTGAAGACGGCCCTTTTTCTCCAAAATGGCCCCACATTAAGAAATCAAACAAAACCAAATAGGAGAATTATCATTACAAACACAAATTTGGTGGCCCCTACTAACATGGACAGCTCACCCAACACATTCTCTCATAATCAGCAGCAGCACTCAAAACACCTTCCTCTCTCAGCTCCCTATGTCTTATTTACCCACATAAGACAACCCTTACTGAATAAAATGGCATATAAGCACGAAATATACAAGTAAATAGAAAACCAGCAAAATGCAACAGAAAATAATATTGCAGTAGTAAATGTAACAGAAAAATAGAAGGACACATCTGTCTAGATTGATCAGTGGCCTAGGTCTACGTAGCATGGGCTTGGGTATAGTTGTCGGGTGTGGATAAGTATCTAAGAGTCCGATTCATCTAATTCTCATTTCCAAGGACACCAGAACATAGCTAGATATCATTTTTTTTACATATTTATTTTATTTTTTTTATTAAGGTAAAAAGGTGTTCACAAACTTACATAAAATATTTCATGAATAAAATAGGAGTTTTATGCATAGTTATTATGTAAAATCAACTGCATGTCAACGAGATATGTCAGAAATAGAGCTGTAAATGAACCGAACTGTTCATGAACAAACTCAGCTCGGCTCGTTAAGGGCTCGACTCAGCTCGGCTCGTTTAGTAAACGAGTCGCGAGCTCAGCTCGTTTATCTTTATTTATATTATATAATAAATATATTATTTATATATTAAATAATATATAAATATATATAAATAATTGTATAAATACATTATTTATATATTAGATAATATAAATAATATTTTTTATTCAAATACTTTTATTTAAATAATATCAATAATATTTAAAAAAAATATTATCAAGCCAAGCCGAACCGAGCTCGAGTTTCATTAATGTTAACGAGCCGAGCCAAACTCGAGCTCAATAAACGAGCTTAATAGGTAAACGAGCCTCAGCCCGGCTCGGTTCGTTTGCAGCCCTAGTCAGAAACATATATCCGTACTCAAGTGTGAGTGTTCAACACAGGTACTTCACAAATTTAGAAGAGTCCTTGTAACATAGGTCTAGATAAGAAGCTTACACAGTATCTCATAACCATCTGTCAAAGTATCAAAGCAGTAGTTTAAACGAGTGCATGCACATGCACGCACAAACACACTAAAAAGGAAAATGGATGAATGATTGACTAAATAAATAAACAGATTCTCTGATACATTTGCAGCCTCACATCAAGACCAATGCCCTTCGTGTATTGTTCATTAAAACCAGAAAAATGAACTAGTCAAAATAAAAAGAAAAAAACAGCAAACATGTATTTTATATATATAAACTGACAGAACTAACAAAATTACTAAACATAATTGCTAGGCATCATACCCGAACCAGCCACAAGGTTGAAAATATAGCACAACTTTGTCATGTTTGTCACGATCATCTCACCTGGAACATCAACCCAAGTTCGTCCAAATATCAGGTTGTGAACTTTTGAGGGAGGAGGCACCAAATCTAGGACCACACCATCTCTTTTTAGGGTCACCCATGTCCTGCATTTGTATATATATATATAGAAGTGAGCTGCAAATACAGTGCTCACCACAAAGATTTTGAAAGACAACCCCAAGACAAGAAATTCCATAAAAAGTCAGGCCCAGACCAGGTGAAAGATGAAACGACTTTTCTCTGTTTTTTTTTCCTTTTCCTTTTTTAGAAGTCCAAGTATGATGATGGGGTTAGGGATTGGATAAAACCCCAACCAAGATGAATAGCAAGATTAAACACCAGGTCAATGATACAACTACCAAGATACTTTACAAGCTAAGCTAACAACAAGACAAGAAATTCCATAAAAAGTCAGGCCCAGACCAGGTGAAAAATGAAACGACTTTTTCTCTGTTTTTTTTTCCTTTTCCTTTTTTAGAAGTCCAAGTATGATGATGGGGTTAGGGATTGGATAAAACCCCAACCAAGATGAATAGCAAGATTAAACACCAGGTCAATGATACAACTACCAAGATACTTTACAAGCTAAGCTAACAAACACAAAATCTTATTATCATACAAAGCAAGCAAGCAACCTTTTTGGCTTATCCCTCTTTTTTAAGATGTCACCTTTTTTTTTAATCAAATGAACTACATAATATAATATTCTACATTTATTTTTTTACTACACATAGAATGGCTATTAATAATTATATCTCACTTCTTGGAGTCTGAGAAATAGGGAACAAGGAAAGAGAGCCATATGAGAAAACTCAACCAAAGAAATCCCTTCGGGTATATTTCAAAGCTGTTTTGGGCATTATTAGCAGTACCTTAGGCTCATTTTGGATTATTTCGCAAATCAGTTTGAAGGATTGAACAGAAAGAGGTTTAGGATTAGAGATTAAGGTTTAATGGCAAGAGAAGGGCAACAAACCAATCTGGTTATTTGGGGATTTTAGAGGCTAAAAGTGTAGACAAATAAAGGAGGGATTTTAGAGGAGAGGCTAAAAGTGTAGAGACAAATAAAGAAGAAGAAATCAAATAATCACACAAAAGCTTCAAAGCTTTGAAATTACTCTAAAACATGTTCTGCATTGAATTAGAAGCATTGCATAACTTTGCACCCATGCTGACTTGGTTAAGAAGGCATTAAGGGGATACCACCCATATATACAAAATAGACGCAAAGGAGGCAAAACAAAATCCTATACACCTCCCACATGTATCAAAAAGCTCTACAAAATATAAATATTGGTCAAGAGATGGGTTACAAATCCTCGTCTCCCAACTATACAAAAAAGAAACAAATGAACTTTTAAGCCTATACAAAGGAACTTTTATACCATCAAAAGACCTCTGCTTCCTCTCCATCCATTTAATCCACATAATGCATAATGCAATCAACGACCATATCTTCTTCCTCCTATCCCCCACCCCAACCTCTCATCAACTATGAAGCAACTCTACTACTCCAATGGGAAACACCCATAGCACCGTAAACCATGAGAAAATCGAAGTTCAAAGCTCACTTGCAACTTGACAGTGAATATGAAGACGATTCACCGATTCACCTTTATACTTAAACATGCAACAACAATTCACAAGCATGTAACTTCTTCAAACCAAAATATCACTGGTAAGATTTTTAATTCGAGCTACACAACCAAAAAAAAGAGGCCACCTTGAGGGGAACCCTAGGCTCCCCAAATAGCTTTTCAAGGAAATAATGAGTTGTCCCAACCGATCAACACCCAATAGAAAGATTTGACCTGAAAATACCCCAATCTAGATAGATTCCAAGTTAGGGGGTCTTCCACCATCCCAATAATAGTCGCCATGTACAATCTCTCCATGAGCCCTGTCAGCTTCCAATCTATCAAGCAAAATGTCCCCAAAAAATTTAAGTGTCCCCTCTACAACATTAACCAACCACTGCCGCACTCCTATTCGCTGGGAAGATTCTCTTCAATCCCTCTTACCACCATGCGAGTAGTACTCATCTTACTCGCATCCCCTACCACCATGCTCACATTACTGACAAGCTTATCACATCCTTTCTCTAATGGAAAAAGCGGCAGACCCCAGTGGGGTGTGATTGGTCCATTTTTTTTTATTTTTATTTTTTTTTTGATCCAATAACCAACCCCCACGGGTGTGTGGGGGTTGTGGGGGTGCTTGAAGACTGGGGGTCTCCAGCATGTTTGTTTCTCTAATACCCATCCAAAGGTCTTTAACATAAGATAAAGATACCTCTAAAGAGTTCCACTCCCCCCGGCCACACCTATACTTCAAACCAACCACCATTCTCCACCATTTGTCCTCCTCACAGGCGTATCTCCACAACCACTTCCCCAATATACTTTTAGAAACATTAAATAGAACAAAATTTAAAACCGAATGATAATGAATCCCACAACAGCTACAGGCTGTCAATATTAAAGAACAAAAGCATAGCAATTGAGACTGACAAACCAAAACAACTATTACCTTCCAAGGGTATAGATATCAAGTGAGTTTCCTAAAAATTTGGTCTTCACCTTTGAAGTTATATCATAAACAAAATGATCATTTTCAGCATGTCCAGCACTCATTGGAGGGTGGCTAACCTGGAAAGGGATTGCAATTATTACACAGCACTATGATGCAAAACATAAATAAAGATGAAAGAAATGAGTATGATCAAAATGTTAATTACTTAACAACAAAGTTCCACTAGTCTAAAATATAGGCAGAAAAGAATAATTCCTTCTTGGTTATAATCAAAATCAGCATGACCAAAACTAGCATTTAAACAAAGAAAATAAGAAAAATGTATCCAGTGGAAAATGTGGTCAAGCTCACCTGTTCTGCAATGAATTTAACACCTCCATGATTGACCATTTCATAAGTTTCACCAAGAATTGGATTAAATGGCTTCCAAGTTCGTCGGCAGGCATAATAGATTGTCATAAAGAAGGATGCTGAAATGGAGAACCATAAGTTTCACAACAGAAAATGCACACTCACACTCGCACAGAGAGTGAGAAGAGAGAGCAGAATGGTACTTACAAGCATAAACCGATCGCATGTAGGGATCCTCACATTCATCTGCTAAATCCATAAGGTAGGAGTATTCCATCAACTGTTACAAACATTTCACAATTGGTGATATTCAACAAGAAAAGCATCAGCAAACATAACACAGACATCAATATGGTACAAAAACACAAACCTCTGCCATTTTTTGAAGCATTGACACTGGCTCAAAAATGATAACTGGGAGTGTCACCATTGATGTGACATCAGAACCTATATATTTCTGCATCATCTTCCAATAGAGAGATATGCCTTTATTTCTGTTAAGAGGCAGAAGTTATTTAGTAAGCATAACTTATGGACAATAACACACGTCAACAGGACATGCTAGAATCACAAGACATCAGTTTTTTTCAATAAATACAAATTTTCTGTCATACACCACATTTGAGGATCAGAACCCACATAGACACACACATAATGCATTCAAGATGATGCCTAATGGCCTTGAACTATACCTTGTAATCCTGTTGAATTTTCTCAACCCATATAAGAGCCTACTGAAATACATTAAAAAAAAATCATGACATAGCAGAAAAATTAAGCAGAAAGTTCTATAAATAACACAGCAAAACTTTGAGCACACACTATACCAATCTACCTTGCCTCAAACCTCCCAAATTCGGGTTGAAATGAGGCTAGAGAGGGAAGAAGAAATTAATGAGACAAAGTATACCCAATCCAAAGAATCAGTTCTTACACATCATCTAAGCAAGTTAAGACTGCCCCAACTCTCATAGGAACTTTTCTCAATGCCATTTTTAGTATGCAAAAAGAGGTAGATTATAGAACTCCCAAGGGTCATTTTCCTATGGTTTTGTTTTGCCAATGCTCATGTAAGGAAATAAATACTTTTAAACCAAAAATATATATATATAAAATATAAAAAAATTCTAAAGCTGTAGAATTATAGGAACTCCCAGGGGTCAGTTCCTATGGGTTTGCCAAAGTTCATGTAACAAAATAAAATCACAAATCATATGATGAGTTAGCACAAGGGGATGTTAATGACTACTAAGTTTTTACCCTGTTTCCTTTTGACAGTGAAATGAAAAACACTACTTGCTTCACAAAACACGGACCTGGATATCACGTGTGTACACTAATGTAGAGAGGCTTGCAACAAGAACAGGAAGAAGAAGAAGAAGGAGAAAAAAAAACAGGAAAAAAAATTTTAAAAATAAAAGATAAAAAAGCCTCTATTTATTCATACTTGATTTGTGTAACAGCGGTTTCTCTTGCACAAGTCAGATACCCAGTAAGCATGTGGTCAAATCACTTTATCTTTACCAAAATATACACTGAATCGTAAGTGCCTCACGCGAGGAATAAAGTACAAGCAATTTACTCTAGCAAGTCTAAATTATGTACCAAATGACCCTACTTCTCTTTGGCACGATTGACAACCAGCAAACCTTCAAAATCAGCTAGCATTCACCTGGTGGGTTAACAAATCCATCATCAGTCGTAAGTAAATCAAACAAAAAAGGAGGAAACAAAAGAAAAGAAACTAGATTTAAGCCAGAAAACGTACTTTTGGTTAGTCAAGTATGGCTGCAAATATTTGAGTAGTCCTGGAATGCCTTTCAAGTTTCGCTAATAGGTTTCCAACACGAAAGGGCATAAATTGTTCGCCCCTTCCATCCCTGCAGCAACCATTGGTTGTCTTCATCGATCACAAAATCCTTGTGGTAGTGATTCCTCACCTTTTCTATTGCCCTTTTCATGATATCCCGGTCAAAAGGGATCTGCATAAAGCCTGCCCTCAAATTACGTACTTGCCATTGCTTATATGTCTCGGGCCTCTCAACTCTCTCCCAACCCTCACAAGCTATTACATTCAGAGCTTCCTTCCCAAAAATCTCCCTCTCAATAAGCATCCTCTCATGATGCTCACGAGGAACATTAGTTTCAAGCATATCAAACAGTGCAGAGAAGTGGAACAGAGCCTCCCTAAACCGGGTAACAAAGAAGGGGGCACTAAATGCCCCATTGACAATCCCGTGGATAAAAAGATCAGGATTGATCCTTCTTATCAGATTGATAACGATATTTCTAGAACTGTCCACTAGCACAGTCTCATCGTGTAAGTTTTTAGACCTATACAAACAATTGACAACAAGGAACTCATCTCTGTCGATCTTCAGATCCTCAAGTTTGATGCTATCCCATCTCTTTGCGATGGCATTGTACTCAAATGGGACATTAAAAGTTTGAGCATAATCCGCCAAACGACGTCCTGTCTCCTCAACTCCTGCTGCCGGCCTGAAGCCAGGTTGAGGAAATTCTATCCCAGTAATCCGAATCTTTGGTGGTCCACCATCTCTTGCCGCAATTCGTTGAATAAAGGTGGGCCACTGGAAACCATAGAGAATACCAAAATCTATAATGTGTAGCCTCATTGCACTCTTTGACTTCACCGTAATCGTCCTGTTTGAGACAAAATTTGAAATCTTCCTGAATGGGCATGACGCAAGATACAGGTGGTAAGCTTTCAAGTAATCAGCAGCGGATGTTCTTCTACTGACAAAGGCTTTATAAATCTGGCTACCAGTGCCAGCCAAGCGTGCCTCGAGGCCATTGGCAAAGCAATGAGCCAATCTTTGATTCCCATCCCCCCAAGGAGAAGAATGTTGTCTGATTTGTTTTAGCAACTCATTTGAACTCCTACGATCATCAGCAGCAACAGCTTGTGCACAATGAATCAAGAGAGTTCTCAAGTCTACCACTTCCTTTTTCCGGTTTTGTTTCTTACCACGACCCTTTCTGCTAGGAGGCCCTTTCAATTGCCCATTCTGCTGCGTTTTTTTGCTTGTCCCATCTTTCAAGGCTTTACGATAAGCTATCAAGGCAGCCTCACCTTTCCCCATGCTACAAAGCAAGACTGTATCAAACATCTCAGACCGCAAAGTGGATTCTGGATAAACTGCTGGTTGCTTAGTACTCCTCTCTTCTTCTTCTTCTAAATCTACCTTCTCCCTATGAGGATTCTTCCTCCCCCTCGACTCATTAGGCAAGTACTCTTTCTCCTTTTTTTCCTCCACCTTAACCACTTCACTAGTCTCTCCCTTTGGTTCCTGAGGTGAAAGTCCATTGACCCCAAAATTAATGAACATTCCATTACTTGTTGGCAAGAACTTTCGCGCTTCTTCAACTCCCTTCCTGAACTGCCAAATAGATTGGTTCCCACTATATAAATCAGTGACCTGAAGAGGGCTTATTGGAGAATCCATGAACCCATCAATATTTTTGTTCACACTATTTGATGAAGTAACTGATGAATGAGATGGATTATTATCATACACTGGAGGACTTCTAATCTGAGAGGTGCTATAGTCAGCTTGATTGTTAATCCAACTTGGATAAACCAAGTAATCACTACTATTACTGCTACTGCTGAGACAATTACTGTGATTCCTAGACAAACAATCATCTGGGCTCTCACTATTTTGGTCAACATAAATTGGGTTTTGTTCAGGGGAAGGTGGGTACTTCTTGCCAAGGACATCATAGAATGGCTTCTCAGCAGCTTGAAGATCCAAAGATTCTTGAAGCATACAACTTTTGTCTTCCATATCTTCTTCCATGAGAATCTGACTAATATATGTCAAAACCGCATCGGAGAAATCACAGTCCTCAACGGGATCCTCCTCCAAAGTCACAGTGGAACTCGGAATTACATTACTCGATGATGAGGGATCGTTTGGTTGGACTGGGATTCCTCCAAATTTGTGATTTACAAAGGTGTTCCTACGAAATCTGGATTCACCAACTTGGATTTGATCCGATGAAAAAGCAACAGATTGATTTCCCAATGGGATTCCATTCATGGAACCCGAAAATCCATGAAGCCGAGGATCCATTATCATCTATGTTCAAACCTGTTTCCAAAACACAAATTTCTCAAGCCCCAATTCCAGTAAAATTCATTTATTTGTTTTCAACACACAAAATCCAGTAAAACTCATGCATTTATTTTCAAAAAAGCAAACTTTACAAACTTCAAATCAAATACAAATACACTCAACTCAAGTAGGTAAAAACAGCTCTTTAGCTAAATTAATAAACTGACACACTGAAGTTTTAAGTTACTAATCAGAAGTATAACTTCCATATATATACATACTTATATAGTCAGATCAAGATACTGAAATCAACTGATATTAACTTTTAAATCCTACATAACAGAACCATAAACACAGTACTAAAAAGACTTCAAGAACCCCTAGAGGCTAGAAATGGAAATTAAAGGGTAATTGGAGAAGAACTTAGAGAAAGAATATCAAAAACGTACCTCACTCAAACCTAGAGAGAGAAACAAAGAATCACAGAGAGAGGGAGAGAGAGAGAGAGAGAGAACTGTGAGAGACTCTCTAGAAAAAGCTTTCAAAGAGAGAGGGGAGGCAATCACAGCCGTTGATTCAGGTCGTCAATGATTAAGTTGTGGCCTATTAGGAACTGACACGTGTCTTGTGAGAAAGACACTTTCCCGTTGGGTGCAGAGCTTTTTTCTCCGTAGGCTGACACCTAATCACTTTCCACGTAAAATTACAAAATTGCCCTCAAGATGGAAGCTTGCACGTGGCTTGTAAAATGGGTATTTCAATGAAATGGCGCACCGCTTATTTCTAGTAGCATAGGCAACCTTAAAGGTGACGACGAGGTTTTGATTTGGACAGTCAAATGGTTAATAATGTAGAGATAATTAACGTTAGGTGAGTTGAAAGTTTTTAAAATTAGAATCCAAGAATGCTATTTTCTTAAACTACTAATCAATCATGCTCATTTTTGAAAAATAAATAAATAAAATTTATATCAGGACATATTGGCCAAGTTGTTCATATAATTTCTTTTTTTGTTTTAAATATTTGTATTAAAGTGTTTGATGCAGTGGGCAAAATTAGTTTAGGGTTGTTTTCAATATCGTTTATAAATTAGTTTTTCTTTTTTCTTTTTATTATAAGAAAGCGTATAGAAAAGTGATGTTGTAATTAAAATAAGTCAATAATCTAAAAATCTAGCTTTTTTAGATGTTGCCTAAATTTTTAAAAAAAAAAATTAATTATGTAAAAGTTGAAGGAGAGAAATTTTTAACTACTACACCTAATTATCAATTTTTTATTTAAGAAAAACAGCACATTTTTTTTTTTTTTTTTTGAACCAGGAAGAAAAACAGCACATTGATACTCTTATATGTGCACCAAACAAACTATAAACTTTCTTGGGCCTTTTTCAATAGTTTTTGAAAATTGTAGGTAAATATATTATTTTTTAAAAAATGACAAAAGTCTAAAATTTAAAAAGAAAGAAATCTTTTTCACTTATTTTCAAAATAAGTTTTTAATCCCTTTTTTTCTTTTCCACCACCTCTAGCCACCATAGCCATCCACCACTACTTGCTATTTGAAACTGTCTCCATCACCTGCTACCACAATCAGTAACCACTTACTGTCACCTCTCCTTGTCAACCACCACCACTTCTAACAATTCATTAAACATATTTTTAATTTTTTGTTTTCATATATTCTCAAAATATTTGTTTGTGTCAAATAAGCTTTTTATTATTTTTTTTAACATCATTTTTGCATAAAAACACAAAAATAAACATTTTTTTTTCAAAATTTAGATTTATTAACAACCATTTAGTAGGTATTTGGAATAAACTAAAAAAATACACTTATTTTTATTTACATATATTTATTTGGGTCATATCGATCAATATCTATTAACATCTTCTCTATATTTTTTTAACTATTTTCTCTACTTTTTAACATATTTTTTATAAAAAAATCAAAAAATATATTTATTTAGAACATCTCAAATCATCTCTAATTTTAATTGATTATCATTTTTAATTTAAAAAGTATATGATTGATTTGCATTTTTAAATCTTCTCCCATGTGGACTATGCCTCCGTTTGGAAAGTAGGTTGGTTTTTTAGCTTTTTGACATTTTTAATTATTTTAGTCTGGGCTAAAATGTTTGATTTGGGAATGATTTTTTGAATTTTTAACTTTTTAAATTTTTTTTATGAAAAAAATATATAATAATTATAAATTAAATGTAATATTTTATTTATTGTGACTAAAATAATTCAAAAAAGCTCTTGCGAAACTGGCCTTATGTAGTGGATGTAGACTTGCAGTGCGTGCGTACCCAGTGGAATAAGTTGACCGCCAGTTTGGACGTGGGGTCAGACGCCTTTGACGCACCGAGGTGCTTCCAATTATTTTTCGATGTTTGTGATAATATTTTGGACTAAAATAATTATACAAAATAAAATTGATTATTTTAATTAAATAGAATAAAATATTATATTTAATTTATAATTATTTTATTTTATTTTTTAAAAAAGTTAAAAAAAATTATCACAAATGAGACTTTTTAGTCTCAAATTAAAAAATTTAAAAAATCAATCCATATTCCAAACGAAAACTTTTATCACTAAACTATTATTTTTCACTTTGGCTCTATGAAAGAACATATTTTCATTTTAGTCCCTAACATTTCGTTTAGATAGTCAATTTAAATAAAAAAAATAGGAAAAAAAAAGAAAATTGAAAAAAAATTAATTTATATTTCATATGCATTTCCCTCATCATTTTTCTTTCATCTTATAAATTTACCTAAACCTATAATGTAAATCCAGACTAAATAATTTGACATTTTCCACTTTGGTTGAATCACCAACTTTCGTCAAGATTAAGAAGAAATGTTGCACAATCAAAAAAAAAAAAGAAAAAGAAAATTTTGAAAGAGGAATGCTAGATATTTACAAATTAGAACATGTAATTCACTCATAAATGATATGGTAAGAAAATTAAATCTTACATAGTTAAATTTGTGATAAATCAAAAAATAACATATACTTGTTAGACCTTTACAAGTAAATTGTGGAATTTTTAAAATGTCTTAATATTTTTCCAATTTTGAAATTTCAAAACTCAAATTTTTCCTGATTCATAAAAAGTTACCTATATAATCCATCTTTTTATCTTTTTATCTTTTTTTCATCACATCACTTCTCTACTTTTCTGCATATTTTTTCGTAAAAAGACAAAAAGTACACTTTTTTATGACACCCCAAACCAACCCTAATCTCAATATATATTTATATATATGTTTTCTCAATTTAATGTACAAAAATTAAGTTTTCTAACTTTGGTCTCTAAATCCAAACTCAAACCAACTTCTTGTGGAAAGAAAATGAGAAATGACAGTATGTACCATTGAATAAGCCAAGGAATTGCAAATCAAAGTTTGGGGGCTAGTTGACGAAATTAGGAGACAGATTTGAACCGATGGTGAAGGTGATATGAGCAAATGAATGTGGAATGGAGAAGAAAAGATTGATGGAAGTACAGTGGATCATGATAAGTGACAATTGAATGAATTTACGATGGAGAATTTTGTGTTAAGACATTATTTTTGCAAAATGAAAAAAATTAAATGGGTAGTTAATTAGAGCATCAACATTAAACCAATTAAAATTTTGTTATATTTTAATTTAAAAGTTACTTTTTTTTATTTTGATTTTACATCTGTTTAAATATATTCTCTAACAAACTCTATTATTTATCTATACTATTTAAATATTATTTTATGCATTTTAATTTAAAATTATTTTTTATAAACTCAACCCAATTAATTCTAAAATATAAAAAGTAATGCTTTTTTAATCTTTGGCTAGGGTCTACTAGCTCTATATATTGAGTCAAAACCATTAAAATTAAAATGGCTAACTTAATAAATAATTTAATAGAGATGAAATAGTGATTTATTCACTATTTTGGCTCATTTTGAAAAGTGGATTGAAAGTCACTTTTCAACTTTTAACCCACTTCCCTCTCTCTCTCACAAAAAAATCAAAAAAAATTAAAAAGTAACTTTTAATCATCTTTCCAAAACACCCCTTTAACTAATCCTTCGTTTGGCATGCCTGACTTTTTAGCTTTTTGGTTATTTTAACCATAAAAAGACAAAATAGATTTTTTAACTCAACAAGACAAAACGTCACATCTAATCTATAATCATTTCATTTTTCTCCCATAAAAATCAAAAAAACTAAAAAATTTATACCAAATGAGATTTTTTACTCCAAATTAAAATAGTTAAAAAGCAAAAAAATCAACCAACATCCTAAACAAATCCTAAAAAATAAATAAAACGAGTTTGATGTTGACACTCTCATGGGGGTTAGGTGAGTGAGGAAGGTGGTTGATAGAAAGGTGCGTAAAAAATGATAGAAAATAAAAAATAAGGGTTGGTTTGGCATAAATTAAGGCCTCGTTTGGGAACTAGCTAATTTAGTAATTTTTTGGCTATTTGGCTAAAAAGGTAGGTAAAAAAAACTTGTATGTTTGAGATGACTTTTTGGCTAATTATGAAAAGATGTGCAAAAAGTAGAGAGAAAAGATAATCTTTGACTTTTTGGTATGGGTTGTTGGCTTTTTGGCTAATTTAGTAACTTTTTGACTAATTGGCTAAAATAGCCTCTTGCCAAACGAGGCCTAAAAAATACAAAAAGTCAAAAAGTCACTATCCTATTTTAGTCACATCATCTTATTTAAATTACATCACGTCACTAACACATCACATCAAACACAACCCATATAAGCCAATAAGTCAAAAAGTACACTTTTTTAGAACATTCCAAACCAACCCTAAAAAAATGAAAAGAGTAAAGATTCAAATATTATGATATTACATTTTAGTGGACGATGTGAGAGATCGTCATTAAGGGGGAGAAAATTAAGTTAGACAAAAAAATTTAGAATTAAAAATTAAAAATGGAAAAATCTCTCTTTTTTTTCAATGATGAAATATGGGGGAGGGGAGAATCATATTTTAAAGAATTTATTTATTTTCATGAATTGTTCCTAGATATTAGTTGAGTTGGAATCATCACAAAAATATAATAATCATTGAAGTTCTCTTTAGTTCTACCTTTATGATATTTCTTGACACAATTTCGACTTTTGTTTGACGTTATACGATGGAAGGAATTAAAAGTAGGGTGAGAATGAATAAAAAAATTATTAATATAGTGTTATTAGGTTAGAAATGTAGGTTAAAGAGTGTTTGTTTGTACATTATTGGATTAATAATACTATAGATAGTATTAATATATAAAATTAATATTTTTTAATATTGTAATTTTTTTATTTTAAAAAATATAATTTTTGCTTAAAAATTATTTAAAATTCACTAATCCCCTCACCTAAGAGGTGGTTTGGGATAATCTAAATAAATGTACTTTGTGACTTTTTATGAAATATGGATTGGGTTTAAAATGATGTGGTAGAGAAGTGATGTGACTTAAATAAGATGATGTGACTTAAATAGAATAGTGACTTTTTTACTTTAATTTCTAATTCCAACCCTCTCATAGCTTT